GCTGCAGTCCAGCTCTCCTCACCATCCTCTCACGGCTTCCGTGATGGATGCTTGGGCACTTCTAACTGGCTAGAAGGTCCTTCTTTAAGTTAAACTGAACTCTTTCCTCCCTATAATTTTTGCCCATTTGTTCCATTTTGGGTAATGCAGAATGAGGTCCCTCTCTCGTTTTTCTGCACCACAGTTTCCTAAATATTCAAAAAATACTCTCCAATTTTAGAAAAGATTTGAGAGTATTCTTTGGGTTTGGGTTTGGGGTTAAATTCAGCTTGGGCCAAGTAGGGCCTGCAGGGCCTCTGGGATGCCCCTATGGAGCCATCTGGGGGTAGCTGACCGTCCAGGGCTGTGTGCAGGGAGGGCTGGGGTCTAGTTGTGCACAGTATCAGCAGTGCTGGGGGTGTGGGGTGCAGAGCCAGGCAGAGCCTGTCGCGTGCAGAGGAGAGGTTAGCGAGTGGGAGGGGGTGGGGGAGGTTGCAAACATTGCCCAAGTGAGGGAATTCATGCCTGATAGCCTTCATTTTCTTGGTGAAATGGGAAGAAACCTCTGTTTTAAGAGATGGAGAACTGGAGACTAACGAGCAGTGAGTATTTGGAATCAGTGCGGGAAATGCAAACGGGAGCTTTCTAGGGATTTGAAAAGGAATGCTAAGCATAAGGGAGACATTCTTCCCAGATTCCGCCTTCCTTGATGCCTTGAGGCAGACACACAGACCTCTCCCCCCTCTTTTTAAGGCTTTTTATTGCAAAACGCTTGGGCAGTGGTTCTCACTTGACAGACGCATCAGAACGTGAAGGGGTGGGGTTGTGTGTGTGGGGAAGTGGCACCGGTAATTTTGACGTATTACCTAAGGAATCCCTGTGCGTACAAGGGAATTACAAACAGTGAAATGGTTGTGTTTTGGAGGGGAGGGGTTGGTAGTTCTCAACTTACCTGGTAGACATGAGTCTTTTGGGCTTCCGCCTCAGCATCTTGTTGGGATTGTAATAAAACAGAAGATATCGTCTTGGTTCACCTTCAGTAATTTTGGGTATCTTCTCACTGTTTATGTGTCATATCTGCTGGATATTTATCCCCTGGAAAGCAGGGAGTGCCCCCTTAGCACCCTGAACTTACTGCTTTATGTGGTGAGGATCGATTTCTTTACTTCCTTACTGGCTGTCAGCGCTTGTCTCCCATTTTGTATTCCGAGCACCAGCACAGGGCCTGGCGCGTGGTAGACCAAGGACAGGTGTTGGATGAACAGTTTGCGGAAGGCTGAATCAGCCGTGCCTGTGCTGTTTCTGGGGGCCCTGCCTCTTCCTGTTGGAAGAAAAGGGCTCTCGAGGTTGAGACGTGTACGGTCGAGTTAATGACGGGGATACCTTCTAGGAAATGCATCCTCATGTGATTTCATCATTGTGTGAACATCACAGAGTGCACCTACACAAACCTGGGGTGGTACAGCCTACTGCACACCTAGGCTGTGTGCTAAAGCCTGTTGCTCCTGGGCTACAAACCTGCACAGCATGTTACCGTGCTGAATACTTAAGGCAGTCGCAGCACAGTGTTAAGTATTTATGTTATCTAAACATAGAAAAGGTACAGTAAGAATGTGGTATAAAAGATAAAAAATGATATACCTCTATAACCACTTACCATGAATGAAGTTTGCAGGACTAGAAGTAGCTCTGGGTGAGTGAGTGAGTGAGTGGTGAGTGAATGTGAAGGCCTAAGATGTTACAGTATATCACTGTTGACTTCATAAACACTGCACATTTAGGGTACACTAAATTTATAAATTTTTCTTTCTTCAATAATAAATTAACCTTAGCTTTAACTTTTTACTTTACAAACTTTTTAATTCAAGCTTTTTGATTCTTTTGTAATAACACATCTTAAAACACACACATAGCTGTACAAAAATATTTTCTTTATATCCTTACTCTATAAGCTTTTTTCTATTAATTTTTTTTAACTTTTTAAACATTTTTGTCAAAAACTAAGACACAAACACATACAATAGCCTGGGCCTACACAGGGTCAGGACCATCAATATCACTGTCTTCCACTTCCACATCTTGTCCCACTTGGAGGGTCTTGGTGGGCCTTAAAGTTCAATAACTTGCAGGAAGCTATCGTGTCCTGTGATAATGCCTTCTTCTGAATACCCCCTGAGGGACTTGCCTGAGGCTGTTTCACAGGTTTTTTTTTAATAAATGGAAGGATTACACTCTAAACTAATGATAAAGTATAGTGTAATAAATATATAAATCAGTAACATGGTCATTTATTATCAAATATGTACTGTACATAATTATATGTGTTAGACTTTTATACTAGCGGCAGCGCAGTAGGCTTGTTTACACTGGCATCACCACAAACATGAGAGTAATGTGTTGTAGTGCAATGTCACATGGCTACCGTGTCATTAGGTGATAGGAATTTTTCAGCTCCATTATAACCTTATGGGACCACTATCATATGTGTGGTCTGTCATTGACCAAAACATCCATATGTGGTCCATGACTGTACTTCAGACCTTTTCATGTTCTTCCTTACTGAGAAACCAGCTTCCATTAAAGTTTGTGTAAACTGTCTTGGGTGAAAAGTATTCAGCAGGTCTCTGGAAGAGTTTCTTTGGTGTCGACAATTCCTGTGGATCAAGATGGGGTAATTGTATTGTAGAGTTCATATTTAGACACTCCTGGGAATTGCCACGAAATATTTTCCCTGTTTCAGCTGCTCCTTCCAATGACAGCTAGTGTCCCAGCCTCCTGCCAGCTGGTAGCCACATGTGGAGGTGTATGATCTAGGTCTAATGCTTTTCTCCTTTCACTGTGTATTCCTAAATAAGCTCTCTCAGGCCCTTAATATATGTTAGTAATAAGCATCATCTGGTTTTATCCATTTTTACCATTTTCTTGCCTAATGAACAGGGGCAATTGCTTCCTACCAAAAGCCTTGATTTTTCTGGGGAAATTTTTAATCATCTAAATTAGTCCTTGATTTGGCATGACTGATTAAGCAAGCAGCTGCTTATTAAGAAGCAAAGCTGAGTAGAACAATTTAATTAGGTTCTGTCTATTGAGGCTTTCACAGAAGCCATAGCTTGAATATCTGGAGCTCTTCATTTAGTTTTAAATGAAACATTTTTGCAAAGGGAGACTCAACATTTACCCCAAAGACTTAACTGAAAATAATTCTGATGAAAATATAAAGTATTCAGCAAGTATGAAAAGACATAATAAAAACTTGATTTGTTTTGTGAATTAAGTGCTTCAAATATATTGGTTAACTTAATCATAAAATAAAATAGATACTGTTGCATGATGTAAGTGTGCTTTATGATAACTTTTAACAAACATTCATGAAATAAGTGCTTATTGTATGCATTGAATTTTAACAAAAGTAACTGAGCAGCTCATGGTCTTCTGCTCCAGGGCCAGCAGGCAGCATACAAAAGCCTACAGGGCCGACCATCCTCACCTTTATTTATTTATTTTTTTTTGACAGAATAAAATTCAGTGAACATCCTCACCTTTAAAGTTAGACTTTCCACTCTCTTCTGATTAGTGATTCCATTTTCTTCAATTATGTGTCCACCTGCCCTCCAGATCTCTCTTTGCTTTAATCTTAAAAAATATTTTCCTGTTTCTATCTCACTCATATAATTATGATGCTTAATTTATATATAAAACTTTTATGTATTATTTGGTTAATATTAAACCTAGGCTAAAAGGAAACAGAGCAAATTTTTAATACCCAATAAACACACGTTGAATTTGAAAAAGCAAATGAACAATAAAGGTAATGGAGTCCCACAGAGAAGAATTGTAATATCAATATTTTTACCAAGCATACCTACCAAAAACAAATGGGGAAAGAATTCATTACAGACATATGGATTCTGTGGGAAGGGGCCCTGTGGGAGACTGATTGTTATTATGATATCCTGGTTGGAAGGGAATGAAGTGGGGTTATTGCTTGTGCAGTCAATGACTTGGGTTTTCTCTGGTGAATTGGCTTCAGTAGGTGACTTTATTATTTCTTCATATTAGGCAGCTGGAAATGTGTATTGATTCATTTCCTTTTCATTTGAGGATCAATTCTTTCAGAGATGGAGCCATCGGAATGCTGTATTTGCTAGATATGAGCAAATGCTTTAGTGTCCTTTTTTGGTCTAAATGTTCCTAAGATTTTTAGGAGCCAAAAAAAGTCCCGCTCGATGAGATATAAAACATATCTTGAGTATGTACATATGCATATTATTCTTTCTGTTAACTCTATCCTTAAGATTTGAAGCTTTTTAATAATTTTGTTGTTGTGTTGTTGTTTAAATAGATAAAAAGCCATGGAGGCCTTTGGTCCAAGGATATGTGTGATTGCAGAAATTTTTTTTTAAGTTAAATACTAATTTAAGCAATGACAGTGGTATGGTTCTTTTCTAAGATTGTGTTATTCTTCTTAAGATTTAAATTTTGTTTTAAATATTTGTCCTGCTATACCATTAGTTTTTATTATGTAATTTTGTTTTGTTATCACGAGTAATGTTCTACTATGATCTTTGGCTTGATTGTTTTTTAGAAATTATCCAAAGAACTCATCTTATATATAGATGAGGAAATTGAGGCATGAAGAAATCAGGTGATTTGTTCTACATTTAATAAAATATTAAAAGAATACTTTTCAGTTATAGTATTTCAAATTCCCTCTTAATGTTAAACTCTAAGACTTAGATAAATTTGAATATCATGTTAAAATGTCTTCTGAAACTTATAATATTGACCTTTAAGGTAATAAGTTTCTCTTTCTTTTTACTTTAAATACAAACATAAGATATATAACAAACAGGTGAAGAAACACACAAAAGGCCAAACATTCTTAGCTTCTTTGTATTCTTATGTTTATGCTAAATTTTTTAAATTAGTAAGAATACAATTACATGCTTTTTAAAACTAAAAAGGTTTTAATCTAGGCTTATCATGAGATAACAATTTACAGCTGTCATTTCTCTCAACAGGTTGAAGAAACATGGATACCAACGAGAACCTGGTCATCGGCACTGTTTGCACCAGCTTTGTCACCTTTCAGTTTCTGTTCCACTATGTAAGTTACTGGTTTTCAGCAAAAGTATCTCCTGGTTTTAATAGTCTCAGCTTCGAAAAGAAGATTGAATGGAACTCAAGGTAAAGCATATGAAAATGTAATTGATTGAAAACTAGTTTTGTGAAATAAAATTGTTCAAAACATTAAAAAAAAAAGTGTTTCATGTAGAATCCAACAAAATCTAAGGCCAAATTTGTATTTGACTTTAGGAATAAAAGGAAAAACAAGTGGATAGATCTCATACAAGAAAATTTTAAGAATTCTTATATTGAAAGATGTTAGGAAAAATTTATTTAACTTTCTGGGGAAGAGTGTGAAGATTAAGTAGAATCCAGCTGACTGTGGAAGAATACTGTTTTGTGTTTTTCTCTGAAATGATTATAACAAACACATATTCTTTGGAAATGATAATGGGAGAAAATATTTGTTGGAGTTGTAGATAGCTTATATACTATGTGGTGTTGCCCAGCTTAGCCAGACCCAGGGGAGTTAAAGATTATACACCAGAGAACAAAGTATACAATCAGTGCATCTGTATCTTTTTAATAAACTTTTCACTGTAATTTAGAGCCTACTAGTATTTATTCTTTTGTTATATAATTCTAAAGCAAAAATTGCTTTTTAGATTTTTTTAAACAAAAAAAATGAAAAATTAGACATCTATGGGTATGGAAATCTGGAGCTTAAAAGAGTTAGTTGCAAATTTTTTTGTGTACAATTCATTAATCTCACAAGATTTCAAATACAAAATGACTCTGAAGACTGCTTCACTTGTTTTAAGGCATTTCATATGCCCAAATATTGCTGTGCATTTGCAAACCTCAGTGAATCAAAGCAGTCACAGGCATATTTTTTGTTGTTGCCGTTTAGCTGAAGTTAACGCTAAGCATAAAATGCATTCAGTAAGTCTCTAAAATTGCAGTAATTATTTTTCATTGAAATTTCCTTTTAAAATTTAAGAACTTCTGCCATTGTCTAAGTATTTAATTGAGAATTGTCATATTTGACCTGAAATCTCCTTTCTTTCTCTAAGCCAAATTGTTTTGCTGGCATCTATTTTTGTAACTTAGACTGAATTTAACAAGACATTAGTTGTTTTCTTTTGCACTGATATGACTGGTTCATACATGCTACAGTTCTTTTCACTCAAAAAGCAAGAATGATTTCTTCACATTTTATTCTTTTAAGACTAGCATAAAAATATTATTCAAATATGGTATACCAGAGATACCATTATTTTTAAAAACCTTTCATAACATATGAAGATAGATGGAATGGTGGGAAAGAGAAGGGAGGGGGACACATATTCTCTGATTGAATTTTGAACTATTTTCATTTCCTTTTCACCATGGTTAGGGTAGGTAAAGGTATTTGAATCTTGGGTAGCTGCAAGCCAAAGAAATAGCTTATAGAGAGAAGCAAAGATGAAAATGAAATGATGAAATTGAAAAATATTTTGCATTATTCTGTTTTATCACTGCCATTCTGTGATGCAGGAAATTATCATTTGGGAAACTGAGTTCATATTTGAAAAAGGAGTCTGGGATTTTATGTAAGACTTATTTAGGTATTCAAATGGTGTTTTCTCTTTCTATCAAATTTGTTCCTACTTCCCACTTGGCTTACATAGGACTTAAGCTATAAGATGGAGAGTGTAAAGAAGGAAAAAGTAGGCTATTTTTTTGAATAAAGCAGATACTTAAGACATTTAAGAATGCCTTAAAATTCAGCCTCCAGTCTTAAAATATATGGATCAATACGACACACATAATTCTTTCCGGTAATCAAGAAAGAGTATTTGAAAAATGGGTGGTCTAAGCCATCTAGCAGAAAAAGGACAGGAGGGAAAAAAATTACTGGAAAATGCCCACTTGAGAGATAGCAGTTTAATTATAAGTGAGAAATGATTGTACTTAATTGTAACTTTTTCTGAAAACATAATACTTATGTATATTATTTATGTCTTATAATGTTCTTAGTTGCTTATATCCAGTTGCTTACCTATTACATTGAAAATCCTATTGTGTTGAAATACTAATTTTCATTCTGTTTTTCCAACATTTAACTCTTTTGCTATGTAATTTCTACTGACGATACACTACTTGCAATTGATTAAATTAGTAACTTTACATTGTTATTCTAAAATGGTCATTAATTATTTTCTTCAAGTGCTTTCTTCAAGTGCTTTATAAGCGCAAGCATTTCTTTTTAACCCTCTTTGAAAAAAATTGAAATGTTTTATCTTGAGTAGCATCTTGGTGTTTAATTTTAGTTACTAAGGAATCTAAATTTTGCTTTGCCAGGAATCTTGATTTTAAAGAATAAAATATGAAATTTTTACTAACAAGTTTCTGACAGTATAGACTTTCAATGCAGACTAGTATGTGAGTATAGGGTGTTTACTTTTCCTGTTCATTATAGTGGGAGCTATTTAACTGGACCAAATAACATTTAACTCTTCTTTAATGAATTATATGCCATTCTTACCAGCTGAGGGCTTATGATGCTTTCCATTTACCATATAACATCTCAACAGAGAAGAGAATTTGAGGAGCCCCTGAGTGTCAGGAATAAAAAGTTTTTTTTTTTCCAAAAGGAAACTTCTTGACTTAGTTACTAAACAGTAAAACAAGTTAGTAAGAGAGTTTATATTTTTTCTTTTCTAGAATATTTGAATAGCAACAGAAAGTGGGCTATAAGGTTATTTAGATGGAGTGTTTTATTTGATATCAAGGAATTTATGTTTTTGTCCTGCTATGCTCAAATAGAATACAGGTGTGCTTGGTATAAAAATTCCAGACTTGTAAACCAAGTTAATTGGATTAATTATTTGCACTTCAAATGATGCTTTGGTGTTATTTAATACAAAGGATTCTTCGTCAGTGCCTTTAATTTAGTGAGAATCTTTGTGCCTTTAAATTATGACCTGATTTAGCATACTATATCTAGAGACACTGTTAGATCAGGTATATTGATTTAAGTTACAATGAAATTTTCTCATATCAAGCTTAATATTAGTTGATATATTGTACTTTTAAAGATCTCAAGTCATATTGTAGAGGGAAATGTATTGCATACCAGTAATTTCTACCGAGAAACTTTACTATTCCTTTCATCTTTTATTCTAAAGAAGAGAAAAGAAGCTTCATTACTCGTAAACTTCTCAATAAAGATGCGAGAAAACTGGAATTGTTGGGTAAAAAAACTTCATTGTGTGGATAAATGCAAAGCATCCTGTTTACAGCTCTTTAAGTAGCATATCATAGAGCTTGAATATTGGTTGAGTTATTAAATTATTAGCAGGATATGTTTGTAGAAACTGATGTTTTATCATTGAAACTTTACTCCTTTAATAAAAGAAAGGTTGATCTGGATCTTGAGAACATTTTGCTCTTTTTTGTTTATTTTAAAAATGGATTTTCTGTATAAATTCATGATCCTCAATTTTTCTATTTAGAAGTACTGTCATAATAATGATACGGGATTAATAATGGCTGCCCTTGCTTTAGCACAGATATTTTACAAGAACCAAGTGCAATCATGCATGAGAATGTACATTTAAAACCAAAACCTCCAAGATAATAAATCTTCGTATCATGATCCATTTGAATTGTTTTAAGGATTTAGAGTTGGTTAAGGCTAGTAGATTTGGAAGTCATTGCCTCTAACAATCCATTTGAATTGTTTTAAGGATTTAGAGTTGGTTAAGGCTAGTAGATTTGGAAGTCATTCCCAGCTGATTGAAGCAAGAAACCCATCCAGTTAAGAGGCAGTTGGGGAGGGAGCTTGGAGCAGAGTACAGAGTAGTGGTCTTACCAGGTGCCATCTGTCTGCACACCACTCTGTTGACTATGTCATCATGTTTGCTTCTGTCTTAGAACTTTTTTTTTTGAAACAGTCTCACTCTGTTGCCTGGCTGGAGTGCAGTGGTGTCATCATAGCTCATAGCAACCTCAAGCTCCTGGGCTCAAGTGATCCTCCTGCCTCAACCTCCTGAGCAGCTGGGACTAGAGGTGCACACCACCACGCCTGGCTGATTTTTTCTATATTTAGTAGAGACAGGGTCTCACTTTTGCTCAGGCTGGTCTCAAACTCCTGAGCTCAAGCTATCCTTCCACCTTGGCCTCCCAGAGTGCTAGCATTACAGGTGTGCGCTACCGCACCCAGCTTGTCTTAGAACTTTTAAAGGAATGATTCACCAGTTTTCTAGCAGGAGATTGTAGACCTTGGCATCTCCTTGGTACTCATTTCAAAGTAAAGTTGTAGCCCTTGGATTTCTAAATGACAATTTTGTATTACACTCTCAGATATACGCCATTCCTATATTTAAATGCTTCAAGGTGTAATTTGTTCAGAATGTGAAATGTCTTGCCAGAATGAGTTAAAGTTTATTGCAAAGAATCTAAAATCTTTGTGTGTGTTTTGTTTCATTTCAGGGTAGTATCTACATGCCATTCTTTGGTGGTTGGGATTTTTGGCTTGTACATTTTCTTATTTGATGAGGCTACTATAGATGATCCACTTTGGTAAGCCATTTCTTTCCAAGATAGCCAATTTGATTTATGTTTTAATATTAATTATTAATAAGAACATCACTTACCTTACTTTAAAACAGAAACCATATTGATGGTATATGCTTTATTAAAATGCTTGTGTTCAGACTTATTTCAGCAAAGTGCATTAAAATGATTTATTTAGATTTTGAATGCAAACGAGGATCATTTTGCCTCAGTATTGCAGTTGTTATTCAAAACAAGGAGCTTATAATTATGATGTGAACATTTGTGTGAGTAAAACCAAGTTATTGTAACCACTATTTTGAGCAAAAATAAGTAATTATTAAGATAGGATGGTCAACTTGGATAATATCTACTTAAGACTTTGTCTTCAAATTTTTGTTTGATCCATAGTTTGATATCAAAGAGATAAAATGAGAATTATAGATGGCCATGTGAGAGACATTTAGTACCTGAGAAGATTTGAAGCACTAATAATAATTATATTCAGCAATAATAGTATAATTTGTAAGATGGTTCTTTTTGAAAAATTTAAATGTCATTCCAGTGGCAGAAATTTTGCAAACTGTATTTCCTGGCATTGTATGAGAAGGCTTAGTGCAGCTTAGTTGGAGAAAGAAGGTATATTTTCAGAAAGCATTACATTGAATTTTGGTCATTGTGAGCTCTGGAGGATGTAGGGCAGTTTAACCAGGCCTTTCAACCAGCACCATTTGACTGCAGGGTTTTGGCTTTATTCATAAATACGAAATTATTTCCACATGTATCATACCAATATTGATAACTTTTCACTGGGAAGATACTTTTAAAAGAAAATCAATTTAATGAACTTAATTCCTTGACCAGATTTTTATATAGTCTACTTACATAATTTCTAGGTTTATTATAATTTTAGTTTTTATTTTACTAACATGATCGTCAGCAGAACCAGTTCTTTTGGGAAGTCAATTTTATAACAGATTTGATTCATTGGTCGATTTTTGCCTTATCAAACTTTAACTTAATATAATTTTTGATATTTTTGCATTTTTAATGCCATTATTTATTCTAGGTCTATTTTCCTGGGTCATATTTGCAGATAAAAATTTGTAAAGAAGACATGATTTTTGCTAAATATTTCCATTTGTAGTTTAGCTGTTGGTTTTATTTTGTGTTAATTTCATTAGCAGTTCACATTATAAATCAGATAAAGGACTGATAATTTGTATTTGTTTCTTGGAGCAAAGAGCATTATAGGGCAAAATTATAGGATATTGATATGTGTAGGGATCAAAACAGCAGAGTCAAACTGTACTGTTCTGATTATTTCCTAATTGTGTGGTAATAGGCAAATCCCTCTAGTCCTCAGTAGAATGATGATGATTATACTTTATTGCCTCAAAATCAGAAGTAAGCTAGGTGATTTTTTTGAGGTTATTTGAGTCCCTGATTCAGAAAAAGGAATCAAAAAACATCAGCATCTGGAATTCCAGGTGAGCCCTTTTGCAAACAAATCGTATGAGAACACATTTATAAATTTTGTTATTTTTTGGTAAAATTAGTAAAACTTCTCGCTAATATGTATAAGAATTATGATTATACATGCAGTTAGAAGTCTTATCATAGCTAACACAGTACTTTGTGCATTGATAAGTTTAGGATCCAGAATTGATAGTGAGCCACTTCTAAGGTAAATTAATACATTGGAATGTCAGCTGTAGCGGGCCCCAAGGTATCCACCGAGTCCACAGTAAATGCCACTGGTGGTATAGATGATACTTCCCAATTCAAAACAAAACAAACCCTGTGCTATGCCTCTGGATTTGGGGATTCTGGGAATAGTTCTAAAAACTTATGTTCAGAAAATATACTGAGTACTCGTAGCCACTCTCAGGACATCTGTTCCTACTATTGGGAATCTCAATATGGATTGGCTTTAGGTGCTTTAGAACTACAGTCCCCAACCCCCGGTCCATGGACTGTTCCTTCCCTCCTACCCCCACTGTCCATGGAAAAACTGTCTTCCATGACACCAGTCCCTGGTTCCAGAAAGGTTGGGGACCGCTGCTTTAGAGTATTCCAGCCTAGTTCAAATTCCAAGAGTTGATGATTTATCCTCAAGAACATTTTGGAAACTGCCTTGGGTCTAAAGTAAACTTCATGGAAGATATGGGCTACAGAAAGACCTCCTGATTAAGACAGTTCATCTTGGACAGGAAGGCCTGTAAATTTCCTTGGGGGTGTGGATTCAGGTAATCCTGGAGACAGCATCTTTCTGCTAGTACCAGTACCACAGGATGCATCACAGTTCGGCCAAACTGTTACTGTGTGTTTTACGATTTTATTTGAAAACTACAGCTTACCATTAGAGAATCTGTTATATTTAAATCTCAATAGAAAAAATAAGTAGTTGTCATCTATAAACAATGTGCTTAAAAAGAACTTTTTTTAAAAAAATATTTTTAGGGGTGATCCGTCAGTTGTGAACGTGAATATTGCTATTGCTTCAGGCTACCTCATTTCTGGTATGTGATATGTTCATTTTTCTATTTCTTTTTGGACTACTCTTGGAATTATACAAAGTATATGTAGTCTATGCTTTTGGTTTATTTAGTTGAGAAGTAGCTTTTACCCACCCAGAGGGAAAAATACGTGTGATGATGGTAGAACAGGAAACGTTTTCTTCTTGATGGCTTCCTGGTTCTCACAGAAGATGAAAGTTGCCAAGTGGGGCCTCAAACCACTGAAGCCTGCACGCTTTTTATTAACAACGGTCTCTGTTTATCCTAAAGAGTCTCTCAGATGTAATTACTATGCAGCTAATGAAGTTTAAGCCTCACTTTCAAGGGCCCTTGAAATGTGTTCCAATAGTCATGGTTTTGTATGGCTTCGGTACAATTTACGAAAGTAAGCTATTTCAGCCATAATCAGTTACTCCACATTCCCCTCTGTCATGTTTTTCCTCATGGTGGATGGGGTTAGAGTTGCCTTTTTTACAGTGAGGCAGAGGGAAGTAAAGTTGAGATTATGCTGTTTTAGCTGCAATTTGAAAAGGCACTTTTGGGTCATCTTAATAAAATGAGAGAAATAATGGATCCCTGATATGGACATTTGTATAAGGAACTCTATTTAGTAATTTTTAAACTTATTAAGTAGCTGGAAGAAAATCAAAATACAGATAATGGACAAGGAAACAAAAGTGATAAAGTGGTAAACTTAATAGAAAATTTTCTGCCATCAAGAAGTGAGTTGTAATAAAAAAATTAGATCATACCAAAACAGTAATTCATTAAGTGGAAGAGATAAATTGTGAACAGAAATAATTGAAGAGGCTATTAGATTATTTGATAGCCTAATTAAAAGAAGAGTGAATCATGTGAACACATTGGATAAAGATTTGCTCATTTGACACACACACATTGCTGTCACTGGCAAGGATAACACAAAATCCCTAATGCACACATGCACTGGTTAGTGAGTGTTGTCAATTCAGACAATAGTCATTTCCTAGGAAATCTTGTATGAAAGAAACTTGGTTAAGGTTTTCCCAAATGAGATAACAATCTGAAAAACGTATAAGAGTTAAGAACTGAAACAAACTTTTCTCTCCTCTCTCCCCTCTCTCTCCCCCTCCCCTCCCCTCCCCTCCAGACATAGTCTCATTCTGTCATGTGGGCTAGAGTGCAGTGGTGTCGTAGTAGCTCACTGCAACCTTAAACTCAAGAGATCCTCCTGCCTCAGCCTCCCAAGTAGCTGGGACTACAAGCATGTGCCACCATGCCTGGCTAATTTTTCTATTTTAGCGGAGACGGGGTCTGGCTCTTGGTCAGGCTGGTCAGGGACTCCTGACCTCAAGCTATCCTCCCACCTCTGCCTCCCAGAGTGCTAGGATTACAGGGGGGAGCCACTGCACCCAGCCTGAAACAAACTTTTCTAAACCAAGCCGAATGAGAAGTGAATTCTTTTTATTTTCTCTGTAGAACATACAACAAAATCATTATTTTATAAATTGGTAACCAAAAAGTATACAGCCTAAAAATATAGGGAAATAAATATATTAGAGAGGTGTGTCAGGCAGTTAGTAATAACGTTGTTATTTTTCTTGATTTTCATATTTGTAGTATTTGTTTTCTCTTTATAATTTGATGATTTCTTTTTCTAAATACTCATATCTAGTCTTGTATTAGTAATTTTTATTTTCATAAAAGAGGCCTTTACATTATATAAGCTCCAGCCCCACAGAACCTGAATCCTCCCCTGGTCTTGCATCTGTGGGAGCCATTCGTTTCCTTGTCTACATTTCATGTTTAACTATTTGGTAAAAAGAATAGTTGTGTTAACATTTTGAGCAATTTCTATTTTGCTAAAGTAAACTAATTATTTTTTGATTCATGGTGTTTAGATTCAGGACCTTTTAAAGAAAATTGATGCTCTGACCTCTTTCTTTGTATGTCTTGGTAGTTTTAATTTTGAATTAATATTTAATTTGCATTCTTAATTCTTTTGATATTTTTTGGTTAAGTTTGTGTTATAAATGAATTAGTCCTTTTGAACCTTTTCTACCACCGTCTTATCTCTGTTTGAATTATCATAGTGACAAAAATCATTAATTTAAGCTTATTTAAAAATTATTTTTATTTGACCATGAAAACAAGTTATTCATTTATGCTTTCAACAAATGTTATGTTACATGCTATATGCCAGACCCTGTGCTGGATTCTGAGGGTGTAAAGATGCCACCACTTGGTGGGGCTCCTGGAGGAGCCACAGCAGAGTGGGTGAGGCAGGAACAAGGAGCAGGTGCTTTACGACAAAGTGGGTGATCAGACTCACTGGGTAGGAGCAAGTGCTGTGAGCTCAGAGTAGACAGCGATGAGTGGTCAGGAGAAAGAGTTAAATACGGTCGGAAAACAGTGAAGCTTTCTTCTTATGTGATAACTTATTTTTCCTTCTTACAGATTTGGTGATTCTCATTTGGTATTGGAAAGTGATTGGTGACAAGTTTTTTATCATTCACCATTGTGCAGCGCTGTACGCATACTTCTTTGTACTGGTGAGTGCCAGGATGTACGGTAGCTTAACAAGCAGACAAGGTTGAGAATGGTGACTTAAGGGTGAACATAAATTGAAACAGACAATTCTTTATTTTTATTTTATGTTTTTTTGAGACAGAGTCTCACTTTGTTGCCCAGGCTAGAGCGAGTGCCGTGGCGTCAGCCTAGCTCACCGCAAGCCCAAACTCCTGGGCTCAACGATCCTCCTGCCTCAGCCTCCTGAGTAGCCGGGACTACAGGCATGCGCCATCATGCCCAGCTAATTTTTTGTATATATATTTTTAGTTGGTCAAAATAATTTCTATTTTTAGTAGAGACGGGGTCTCACTCTTGCTCAGCTGGTTCGAACTCCTGACCTTGAGCAATCCACCTGCCTCGGCCTCCCAGAGTGCTAGGATTACAGGCGTGAGCCACCATGCCTGGCCGAAACATACAATTCTTAACTTATAAAGACCATCTCCAAATGCATTCAGAGATTGTTCTTGTGATAAGTTATCTTGTTTATTAACTAAAATAATAACTTTAAATGTGTATCTATATTAGTGTGTGTGTTTGTATTCATTCCTAAACTTTGAGATAGGCAGATTACCCGGATTCCTTGAATTTATACTTAAAATCTTTAGGATTGTGTAGCTATAGATATTTGTCTTTCTAGGTGCATTTATGATTTAACAGCCAGAGGCATGTACATATTCCTGTATAGGTAAAAATGCTTCTTTTTGTTTAATTCCTTATACATGCATAATTACATATCAGTAGGCTGGAGCAGTGGGGAAATACTGCTTAGAGAATTCATCAGAATTCCAAGACTGAGGTCAATAGAGGATTCTTGCAATAAAATCTCAGGCAATAAAGCTTATTAAATCCTATGATTATAATTATTTTTCCACGTATACATTTGTAAACTAGCCACTTTATATTCCTTGTATGTTTGTTAGGTTTCCCCACTACCAATTGTTTTTCAGCCTAGCTATACCAACAAACTCTAGATAGATATTTGTAAATAATAGATGTAAGTAAATTAGGATTTTATGTAGTAGATATGATATACCATCCCATGTTTTTTCCGTTTTAAAACTTAAACACTGCCTCTGACTTTTTCTTCTTTTTTGGTATTACTGAAATCCTTATATTGCTGGATATTCATGACCATTTGGAGAATTTTTTAGAAAAATTTATATAAATGTACATTAATAATCTTCAATTTTTCTTTTTATTAAACACAGCTAGTAGATAAGATGTTGATTTCACATTGTTTCTGTGAGAATCAGATATATCAAAACATCTCTCCATATCAACCATTTGAAGTCACAAATTTAAATAATTAATATACATGTTTTAAAAACTATGATTCTGTTCTCTGTTGACCACTAAAATCACAGACACAGCAAACAGCTGGCTGTGCATGCGTTGGCAAGTTAAATGTTTAATTATGTGGGGTGAATACTATTTCCTCTTTGGACTTTTATGCCTTTAAAAATATAATAAGAAATTAACTGTCTTATTTAGTAAGTTGATAAGTAAAGGAATTCAACTGCATTCTTTTCCTAAAGATTTTTTCCATATGTTCTATTGATATGTTTCTATGTTCTATTGTTTTAGTATGAAATAAATTTATCTAATAAATTTATCTAATAAAATGAATCTATTCATAGGGAAATAAAATAGAAAAATAATAGTTGAATGGATAGCGATCCTATGTTATTTACAGATCTTACCTTTACTCATTGAATATAAGGTTTTTTCCTTGCTGTGAATTCCCAGGTCACTTTGTGCATTTTGTTATTCTAAGTAAAGATAAAAGAATAATAATTACAAATTTTGGTGTAAATGGTCATCAAATTCTTATCACTTATGAGCTGGTATTTGGAAAGCACTTTGAATTGATACTTACATAACTGTTTAAGCTATTTCTAATAAGCTTTTTTCTTAGACAATTCTGTTATTAGAACTAAATAAAACTTAAAGTGATCAATAGAAGCAAGCTCTCTGTAGGTTTTAAATGTATACCCTAATGAAGAAATCATTGAAAAGTAAGATTCTTTTGAATTTAGGGTATTGTAGGTTATATAATATCTTGATCACTATTTTTGTACCTTTATTTATTTATTTATTTATTTGAGACAGAGTCTCGCTTTGTTTTCCCAGGCTAGAGTGAGTGCCGTGGCGTCAGCCTAGCTCACAGCAACCTCAAACTCCTGGGCTCAAGCAATCCTCCTGCCTCAGCCTCCCAAGTAGCTGGGACTACAGGCATGCGCCATCATGCCCGGCTAAGTTTTTCTATATATATTAGTTGGCCAATTAATTTCTTTCTGTTTATAGTTGAGACGGGGTCTCACTCTTGTTCAGGCTGTTTTTGAACTCCTGACCTCGAGCAATCCACCCGCCTCAGCCTCCCAGAGTGCTAGGATTACAGGCGAGAGCCACTGCGCCCGGCTATGTACCTTTATTATATTTACTGAAGTTTTAAAATTCTCTGGCAGAGTAATTTAGGGCTTAAGGAATCCTCTTCTATCTATATAGAGATGTAAAAATCATATTAATACAATTTTTTCCCCTGATATTAGCTTTCACTCCTGGGGCAGGATACTAATTATCAAGGAAAGCATGAGAGGCTGATCTCTTATTATAACGGAAAGCAACACATTTATGCTTTAATGTCTTATTTTTAAAGGATAAACCACTATCCTTTCTGACTCTTGTAGCCTTAGTTTTTTTCTGTGTTCTTTGGGAATCACCCCTTCTCCCCGTTCAAACTACACCTTGAGATAATGAGTTATAATACATTTGGAAAACATTGAAACTTGAAAATCACTGAATATGGATCCTTTCCCAACTCTTCCACATTTTTATACTATATTGGAATCTAATCATTAAACCATTCTGCTGCAATTTAGGAAGAAAATTTGGTTTCAAATAGCTCTTATGACTCTTTATTTCAGGGTATTAGGTACTGTGTGATGCCTTAAGTGTGAGACTTTGTTTCTTTTTTATTTTTTTTCTATCTCTCTGTTTTTTTTTGTTTTTTTTTTAAGAGACAGAGTCTCTCACTGTTCCTGCCTAGGCTAGAGTATAGTGGTGTGATCATAGATCACTGTAGCTTTGAACTCCTGGGCTCAAGCAATTCTCCTGCCTTCCTCAGCCTGCCAAGTAGCTGGGACTACAGGCGTGTGCCACCATAGCTGGCCAATTTTTTTTCCCCCTATTTTTTGTAGAGACAATGCCTTGCTATGTTGCCCAGTCTGGTCTCAAACTCCTGGCCTTAGGAAATCCTCCCATCTTGGTCTCCCAACGTGCTGAGATTACAGGAATAAGCCACCATGCTTGGCCTCTCTGTTTCTTACTTAATGCTTTACCACAGCATTTATATTTTTAAAACATTTGCAAGCAAATATGTATAAAGTGGTATTGAAAACGAAAGATTTGTTATGTTAGATTCAGCAAAGTTGCAATTTACAGTAGGAGACCAGAATTAGAAAAATATTGGTTTTATGTTTGTCTGAAGAAAAATCTCCATAGCAATGCCATAAAACAAATGCTATGACTCACTAACATTTTATCACTAGTATTGTTAAAAAAGAAGAAATCTTGTTTTTAAAAGGATTTTAATAGTATTGCCTATTCTCTATTACATTATAACTACTGTATTTACTCCTTTTCTTCCATTAGGATACCCTTAAAGAAAATTACAACATTTCAAAATATAAAATTTTAAAAATTAATTAGGTAGGTGTTAAAAATAGCCACCTAATATAGCTTATTAAAGCAATATGTATGATGTGCAAATCATTAAATGTGATTTCTGTTTTCCATAAAATTTACATTGAGTAAAACATGTTAAATATTTAATCAATGAAAAACATTTTTAAAACTCAAATAACATGCTAAATCATTTTTATTACTGAAATAAAAGATTTTCAACTTTCTTATATAACAATGAACAACAGACTGGCATAAGTAAGTCTTGGGAATTGTTTTATTGGTATTTCTGTAGCTCACTTTAAAAATCTTTATAAAAACACAAATATACAGTTGCTTTATATAACTCTTATTTATTGAGAGATTTATGTGGCAAAAATGTTCAGTGGTCAGTTTCAAAAAATATTTGTTATATAAAAATATGTGTTATATGTTTATTTACATATACACATATGTATCTGTGTTTTTTATTTTGGAATTTGTTTTAATATTTTAAAAACACTTTATAATATAGAGTATCTGATGTGACCATTCCCATAATTTCCAAGCATATTAATAATAATAACCCTCCTGTAAGGCATTCCTCAGTATTGGTTTAGGAGTTCAAGTGTAGCTCTACCTACCTTCATTGTCCTGTGGTTACTGTTTCATGTTCCTCTGTGGGCACAGATTTATGTAGTGAAATTACCTTAGCAAAACTGTTTCCCTTACATTCTCTAAGTTTGCTTTTTGAATCCTATTTTCCTTTCAATATCAGGAAAGCAAACACCTGATAGATTGGACTTGGTATATGCTGATAAAATAGATGTCAGCCAAGAAAATTGCCCTGTCCACCCAAGTCAGTAATTTGTTCTTAATGAGATTTTTAAACAAGTTTATCATATGATTTTCCTTGTATGAGTTACTTAGAATTATCAAATTCATAGAGACAGAAAATAGGATAGTGGTTGCCGGGGGCTGGGCAGAGCGGGCAGTGAGGAGTAGTAACTTCACGGGTACAGTTTCAGTTTGGGAAGATGAAAAAGTTCTGGTGATGGATGGTGGTAATTTTTGCACAACAGTAGGAATGTACTTAATACCACTGAATTGTACACTTAACAGTTGTCAAGAGTAAATTTTATGTTGTGTATATTTTATCACAATAAAAATTTTAAAAGAAGCTTATTAAATGACTAAAACACAGGAAGGAGAACTAATCATATGTTAGACAATCAATTATATTTTAAAAAAGGCTTTCTACTGGAATAATGGGCTGAAAAAGATGGACCTTAATAGTGCTAAATGTTTTTTTTTTTTTTTT